GCAGGGGTAGGAGCGCCCGTAGGGGCGGGAGTAGGAGCAGGGGTAGGAGCAGGCGTAGGGGCGGGAGTAGGAGCAGGCGTGGGGGCGGGAGTAGGAGCAGGGGTAGGAGCAGGTGTGGGGGCGGGAGTAGGAGCAGGTGTGGGAGTCCCCGTGGGAGCGCTGGTCGGGACTTCACTCTCGTCCAGAGTTTCGGGCTTGGCGATGTAGGCGGCTTCAGTGGGCGCGGGGGTGGGAGGGGGTGTGTAGACGGGCTTGGTGGGGACAGGAGTAGGCGCGGCGGTGGGGGTGGCCGTGGGGGTGGCCGTGGGCGCCACCGTCACGTCCTGCGTCTCAACAGGAGAGCCCGAGGATTGGTAGGGAGGAGGAGTGTAGACGCTTTCTTCACCAGCAAGGGCGGCGCCGGCGAAGAGGGCCAAGGAGCATAAAGAGAGTTTGAATGAACGCATCATTTTTTGAATTGGAGGTGGTGCGACGTGAAGTGCGAGACTTGTACTTTTCTGTGCAAGGGTGGAATGCGCAAATGGCATGTCAGTGAAGATGATGAGGCAAGTGCGGCGCTGTGGGCCTGCCTCTGTTGTTGTGTAAAGTGCACGATGTTCGCTGTGTCCGCTTGGAAGGACGCCGCGCCTTCCGACGATAGGGTAGATTTGATGCGACGAAAGCGGAATAAGACCCGCGCAAATATAACGGCGAGAACGCGCCATAGGACACAAGATGCAAACTACATTCAAGAAAGGTAACATCTGCACATTGCATCCATGTGCACAGGAGACATACTTCGCGATGGCACACTTAAAATACACACCAGGTCGCTGTCTCTCGTTGTGGCCTGCGCGGGCCCATACCGACGCCCATATTCTGTGGACGAGCAACGGCTATATCGCCACCGCGACCCTGCAGGAATCTTTGACCAGGGAGGTCATTTTGTGCGGACTCCGCGAATAAAGCCCTGTGCATAACTCACATGTATGCTTCTCTTAGTCATGGTATTTTATCGATGGCGCGTGGTGATGTGAGATCGATGTGTGGTATTTTTTTGAAATTCGCATGGAATATGGGCTACGGGCCTGAGGCCATGTGTGTCGATTACAACGGCATTTATGCATCGAGATCGGGACCGAAAAATAAAAGCGCCCCCCAATTAAGGTTGTCCCTCACTTTGGATTTCCCTTGTAACGCGGTATTCTTAAGGATAATTCATGGGCATTTTTCACTTTCAGAGCAATTTCTTTCCCCCTCACATGTAGGTGTTTGAGAACGTCTATTTTTTGTATGATGAGTGATGAATCTACCACGTCTTGAGCTAAGGACACGATCCTTTCATGCTCTCGTACTTTCCCCGTCTGTCATTCACTAAGATATTGTAGAGTTTGTCTCGAAATTTTACACGATTTGCTGGTCAACCAACAGGTGAATAGAGGGGAGGAAAAAGATTTTGGCGGGAAAATGTAATTCAATTCAAATGAAAAAACTTGGGACGATACGAGGGAAGGAATAAGTTTCTTCTATTCTCATGGTTTGCAATAGGTTAATTTTTAAAAACAAAGATTGAGTTCGAAAATGATCAACTCTCACAATATTCTGATCTAAGTGGTACTTCTTTCGCATGTTTCTCGCGGATTTTTGTCGAAGCGCGGGCAGAAGCCCGAAAAGGGAACAGATTTCTGTGTTCTTTTTAGGGTTATATTTATTTGGAATGGTTAGAGCTTCCTGCAACCTCTCTATATCATTGTAAGAGGGATAAAGGATTGGTATAAAGACATAAATTTCGCGGCTTCAGATTAGCCCATGACTCAATAAATTATTTTCAGGAATCGTGTAGCCTGCAAAATTTCAAATTATCTCGTTCCTGATGCTGGAAAGCCCTCTTACAGTATTTTTTTAATCTTGGAAGACACCGATTTATCAAATGCGAGCTATGCGCGCGTTCGCCGCACTCAAAACACACACATGGGAAGCACGGAAGAATTTAGTTTCTATGCGTTTAATCTATGCAGTCATGCGCACATAGCTCAGAGTGAATATCGATCACGCAAAATGTTTGAAAAGAGAATATACAGCATTATACTTCGGTGATCACTGTTTATTAAGGGTGATTACACAGTTATGATGAGAGAGAAAGAGCGCCAGCCGTGAGGCGGGATCCGAGCCACGACTTACTTCCGTGTGTCCTTCCCACGCAGCCTCAAGATGCTTCATCCTGGGCCTTCATCTTCAGATTTCCTCGTCTCAAGGAGGAGGATGCAAGGAGATCCACCACAAGTAATTTAAATTAGCACGTCCGGTCTTGTTTGCGAGCGTCTGGTGCCAAAAGTCCGCACGAACGCCAGTACGAAAAAGGACGACAGCGCATACTCAGCCCAAGTCGTCTCATGCGTCGATATCTACGTTATTCTCCGAAAAAACAACGTCTGCATTCTTCTAAAGCCCAGGGCAAAGCGTGTGTTTTTCCTCAAGGTGTCTGTCTCCGAAGCAGCGTCGAGGTAAACTGTGACGTCACAGGCTCCAAGCGCCTTCAAATTGAAAGGAAGGCTTTGCCTGTTCCCCACATCATATCCTCCCCCCATCTATCAGATCAGAGCGGGGCGAACATTGATAATGCAACGGCTAGGGCCTCATATACGTTATGCGGGTGGCATATCGGTAATCTTCCTGGGTCCGCGTGCTCCCAAACCGGACTCAGCGACCTGCTTGCTGTTGCTGTTTCTCCCCGGCGAGCAGTATCTTCTGCTGTTGTTCGTATCATGAGGCTCCACGTTGCTTGTCAGTCTTTGATGATGCTCGTCAATCACCCACTTATTGTCCTGTAAGCTCGACACCAGACTTCTAATTTAATCTTTTACTATGTGCTTTCCCGCGCAAAACATTTTCGTAGGATCGACCTTTCTCCCCCGCAGTCCATCGCACCTCCCGTGCTTGGCCCTTTTCTGTTTCATCGACAAAACTTATTCCTTGAGTTTTGAATAGGGATATTGTATATTCAGGAACCAAAATTACCGCTAGAGATGGCGAATGCCTTGATTTTTGCAGCACGAGATGGGGATGTCACGGAGGTGCGATGGCGGCTCGAAGCCAAAGCTACTCTAGCTACCTACGCAGATAGTCACGGGCAGACAGCCCTGATGTGGGCTGCGGTTCAGGGGCACACCGAGGTGGCGCGCTGTCTATTGGATTTCGGGGCAGCTCTAGACGGAACGGAATGGGAAATGGGGCGCACCGCCTTGTACATGGCAGCAGGGCGGGGCCACGTGACTTTCGTTGAACTCCTCCTCTCGAGAGGGGCCAACCCTAGCCTACGCCGTACAGGCGGGCGTACCCCATTGGGAATAGCGGCCTACAATGGGCATAATGAAGTGGTTAAGTTGCTGCTGAGTCATGAGGGCTGCGATGTTGACGGTCGGGATGATCAGGGGTGTACCCCTTTGTGGCAGGCGGCGCGCAACGGACGAACGCAGGCCTTGCGCCTGCTCCTGGCCGCTGGGGCGGACCCTTCCATTCCCGGGGAACAGGGATGGCAGGCTATCGACGTTGCACGGGAGAAGGACCGGGCGGAATGCATTTCCTTGCTAGAAGGGGAAGAGCGGGCATACGTGCTTTCCAAAATCCGGCGCCTATGGCGGGAGGAGCACCTGCAGGCAGGATTGGAGCGAGGCAGAGTCGTGAGACGGGGGAAAGCCCCACCTTTTCTGGTGAATGGCATGTCGAAAGGTGAGGGAGCTGCGAACAGCAACCTTGTGCTGCTGAGGGGGGGTGGTGCGGGCTCGGCGAGGGGGTTGGTTCATGGAGAGGGAGGTAACGGTGGGGGCAATAATAAAGTCGGGAGCGACCGGGTGCGGGGAGATGGTGGCGCTGCTAGCTCGTCACAAGAAGCGTGCCAAGGGCTCCCCCGGGTGGAGACGGAAGAAGACGATGAACACGGTCTTAAATCCCGCGCCCCGGACAGCGCCAAGGCGGCCGCCCACTACGTCGTCGAACAGATGCGATTTGACGTCTTCATCATCATGCGCGACCTGCTGGCCCTCTCCTCCACTTCCCTGTCAGCGCCATTTGGATAAGGTTGCGGTGACCATTCATTGAGAATTGGTGTCTGAAGTTGTCGAAAAGAAAAGCAAACTACGTCTTCGATTGACATACCGTGTGCAGTCCCACCTGCTTCTCGTTTTTCTCCGCGTTCAAATTTGGCATGTATGCGTCGTTCCAATTATTATCCTCTCTCCAAATTAAGTAAAAAGCTGGCTTATGCGGTACATTAGACAAGGAGAGCTTCAGCTGATAGTATTTTCAAACAGACCGACTGTACCGGGGGGGAGGGTGTCGAAGCGACTGTTTGCAGCCTATTTCTTGCCGGCGAAGTCAGGCAGCGGTCTCTGCGTGGAGCCTAGCGAGTATCAAGGTCGCGAGGATCTCTTCATGAGGTCGACGCCGCGGGTGGTTTTCGGGTTGTGCGCCGGCCTCCAGCCCAGGAAAGGCCGGGAAGGTGAACGAGTCCCGGACTTCGTTACTGGACTAAATCTGTCGAGAGTATAGGTTTCGAAAGACAGTAACATTTTGTATGAAGAGCTAGTGGTTGCTTACAAGGTCCGCGCAATGCAGATTAGAATCGCAGTAGCTTTTCTCTTTTGAAGCCTTAATTCATTTTTTTGCTTTTAGTGACCTGAAGTTTGACTTCCCCACTGAGTTCCTTTCACAGCTACCCTCTTATGGTAGCTTAAAATACAACCAGTAGGTCTTCCCAAACACGCAGCCGACGTCACCAGGAAGTTGCTCTCCTCACTCGTACCTTACTGTGGAAGATAAATAAGGAAACTAAGAGATTGCAGACTCCGAGCACGCTTCCAGACGCTTTTATCCCGACAGAAGCATCTTTCGGGTCATTTCAGTGTCTTTCACCTGGGCAATCAACTGCATTCCTAGTAGCGGTGTATTCGATCTCGATTAATTCTAAAGGCACGAATCTCACATGATTCTGCCCTCCTTTCTCATTGCTTTGGTCTCTCTCGTTCAACCCGCATATCACGCTCGCTATTTTGGACTTACGCATACTCTGCTTACTCTATGCAGCACTTCACTCTCCTAAATCGATTGCATCAAAAAAGCAGACTTCTTGTGCCCATGATATCAAATGACCACGCCGTACACATTTCAAAATCGCTTGTTTAGTTGCCTCGTCGCAAGCGTCGGCCGCTCTTTCCGACCATCTCCTCGTCGGGCTTGGTGTAGGGCGGCGGTGTGTACACAGACTCGGTAGGTGCATCCGTTGGGGCCGGGGTAGGCGCACCCGTGACTGCCTGGGGATCGACGGAAGAAGCGGGCGTAGGAGCAGGCGTAGGTGCTCCAGTGGGGGCCGCGGTGGGTGCTGCCGTAGTAGGAGCAGGCGTAGGGGC